GACACACCAGTACTATCAGTACCAGATATATCTGGAAAAGACAAACAATCAGCAATGAGGCTGATGAAAATGTACGGAATAGAACTCATCATTCTGATGTTTCATAGAAAGTTTTACTTTCGAATTGCTATGCCAAAACCTTTCTATCAATTTCGTACAATAGCAATAATTTAGGTGGGGGAAAAAACTAGAAGACTTGGCAGCCTTCAATGCAAACTTTTAACTAAGTTGCACTTGCACCAAGGTATATATTGAATCCATTAGCCTGAACTTTCAAAGAACTCAAATAGACTAAACCTAGGTGTAGGTGAAGTAGCTCTCATAAACAAGTACCATGGTAAATTTCATACAGTGAAATCACAAATGGGTCTCAACACCAAAACATAAACTACAGCTGGAAACTTACCAAGATTGACACGAGCATAATTTCTGAAGAACCAAACACCAATAAGATTCACCAGTAGATTTGTCACTGCCGAAACAATCAAGTAATGCCTATAACCAGATAATTAGCAGACAATAAGATCCATAAGAAAAACTGCAACCACAAAAGCAGGAACCAAAAAGTTTCTATGCAGTGATTCATCTAATGAAAAGAGCAGTGCAAAATTAATTTTTTGAAAATTGGTCCAATTTAATTAGATAAATAGAATGATTATTCACGCATAAAAACGTATGTACTAGTGAGATCACTTCAAAACAATCATTATCTGATACAATTGTCATATTGCCCAGTTTTAGTTAAAGATAACCTAACAAACGCATGAATCTACAAATACTTTGGTAAGGAGACAGCACAAGACTTACTGAAGACAATCCTAGAATTATACTTTAATGTTGCATGGAATTGAACTTGCTCAGAAATCAGTCACTAGTTGGAATTGTTTAGCTAGTCAATCAACCACACTAGGAGAGGCCTCAGATACATGATGCCTAACACATATAAGAGTGCACCACAAAAACAACCATCCGAAGACACACGAAATGGAATAAAGAAAAGTTTTGCAACAACAAGGAAAGCAAATGAAATCATGAGATCCCAGTAGCGTTAAGTATATATGGCAAAATACCACAAAATGGTGAAGATTCAATTGACACGCCATTGGAATAAAGACCTAGGAATGTAGTAGAGTATCTGGGCATTGTAGTTTCCATAACCAACTTACTTGTGTTCAGATTCATCCTGTATGAACGCATGAAGTGCTTCCACGGCCAAGGAGAATGACATAAACAAAAGAAACAGCTGTCTACATGTGCAGCAGAATCAAAAACGAAGTCCACATATTAGCCGAGAGGATGCACGGAAGGAAGTAACGCAATAATTAAATGAGAAGAAAAGGGAGTGGAATCCAATGCAACAAGTTGAGATGCATAAAAGATGTTAAAGCGAAAACATATATAGGTCATGGAAACAGTTTCATCTAAAAGTAGCCACAGAAACAAGCTAACCAAATCAAAACTAATGGCACTTGGATTGCAAGTCACCCAAGAAAACGCACATTAAAAATTGACATAAATTTGAGTTTTAAATTGACATCAATATGAGAATTAAGACAAGACGATTACCAACGCCCAGAAAGTAGGAGGACACAGGTAATGTTACACCAGTTACCAAAAGTAATAGAATCAAAGAGTCCCAAAATACAAGTACTACGCAAACATCATCACCTAAAAATGGAGAAACTAACTTAAAATCCATAGAAAAAGTTCGGTAATTTATCACAAAAGTGGGTACAATTGCAATGATATGGGAAACGTGAGATACTTACAGCATTGGTAAAAGCAGACAAAACTTCTAGCCTTTTATACCTGATTCATAGAAAAAAAAAGGAATTCATTATACACATGATTATCAAATCTAAAACATACCCAAATAGATTAATAATCCAACTCGTGTTCATATACATAAAAACACAACAATCTTACCCATAAGTGTAAATTCCATCAGGTTTCTTTCGAGAAGCAGCCATAGCGAACAATGAAAACGTTAATAAGCCACACCCAAAACTTAAATGAAATGAATCTGACACCAAACCTGAAAACACAGCACAACAATTCAACCAAAATTCAAAAAATAAAATCATCGATTAAATATAAAATGGGAAAATTAATAACAATTTACGAACCTATACGTCCCGTGAAGAGTCCAATACATAGCTCCGCTGTCGAATACGCAACATTAAGCGAAATCAACAAGAACAATCTCTTCATATACCGATTTCCGGACCTCAAAATCCGAAACACCGATTCAAAAACCAACAAGACGGATAATTTCTCGGCCGAAACTCTTCGTTCCCCGAAAAGCTTGTCATTTTCCTCTGCCAAATACGCCCCTTGAGGAACGTCAATGCTCGACACGCTCGGCGAGAGAAACGGCGTCGCCTCAGAGTCGTTGAGATTGATCGAAACCGGCGTGTGTGGTTCGTGGTATTGCTGGAACGAGGCTTGGCGCGAAAAAGCCAATCTCCGATCGCTGGTGCCAAGTCCCAAATCGGCGCTCCATGGGTTCTGAGGGCCTTTGAACGAATTGCTCTTCTCCATGAAAACACTAATCCAGAGTCTGATTTGAGATATTAGGGTTTGGATTGGAAGGATCGAAGCCTGAGATTCATACTTATCACGAAACCCTAATTTAAAATTAGGGCCAGGCGAAGACTGAAAGTCAAGTAAACGAAAGGTAGACTTGTTGCATGGGGTATGCAGTATGCTACATGTATGAATTGTTCAAAGTTTGGTAATCAAAATATGGGGTCCAGATTTTGTGGACTTTGTTGCCCCTAGATCAACGGCCTGCGTGAGAGAATCAGATGATTTTTTGTTGTGATCTATGGTAAATTTGTGGTTGGACTTAGAATAATGAGATTTGGAACCATTCAAGCTCAACTCTGTTGAATTCTTTTGCAGTGGATGCTACGATATTGTATGTTTAATTTAAATTTTTTTTCTTTTATATTTTGCTTTATCAAATTTGTTTATTTGTTTTTGTTGTATAAGAAACCTAAACTTTTCTTATGTTGTTTGTTTTATACTTTTTTTTTTGTTGGTGAAGATGTTGTATTAAACATCATAAGAGTCTACAAGGAAGATGATGACAACATCCGAAAGTCCGTGAAAACCAGGAACAAGAGCGGAGTTTTAAAAAGATTCGCAGTCTGAAATGATCACGAGAAAACAATGAAAACGAAAAAACTACTGCCAAAATTCTATCAAGGAAAAAGAGTACGACTTTAACGTATGTTCAACAACAACAACCAACATACAAACTTGGGCCAGTAGACGATGAACAAAAGTGCACCTATCGGGATGAAAAAAACACCAACTACAACGACACAACCAACTAGTAACTGCTCACATCAAAATTGTTTTGTAACTACACAACGTCCGTCCGACAAACGATGAGCACCATGGTTATCCCAAGATGACCAATAAACAAATTCCCCAACCTGGGGTGTTGGTCCATCAGTGATCGGTCGATTGATACTTATAGGCCGAACGACCAACCTGATCAACCGACTACATTGTGCAAATTGACCGACCCGATCAACGACTACAGTGTGCCAATCACATCCCGCAACCATCCGACACTTCGGAAACCTCTGATAAGTAGTAGGTTTTCCTGTAGGAAGTACTTTTAGTTGGTTGACATCAATTTCCAAATGTTCCGGTATAAAATACTTGAGGAATATTAATTATCAGCTGGAAAGTAAATAAATCTTTGCTCTGAAAAATGATAATTCACATCAGATGGAGAAAAAGAATTTCATTAATTTTTTAATCTATGTTCATGCTTTATACAATTTGATTCTCTACAGAAGAAGTGAGCAATTAGAGACAACTGCAGAATGAGGGATCTGGAATTATGCACAAGTCTACTGTAGGCTGAATAACTTCGCATTTTGCAGACATCAAGATCAAATTCCAATGTGTACAATGGACTTGGACTTGGAGAAGATATCGGCTCCATTTCTATGCGAAGACACAATCCCAACTTCGCCATTGTGATTAAAAGTTTCAACTCCAATCTTCATACAATTGCTGGGCTCTGCAACTGGCAAGAAATTAAGATTATGAAAACCGTCATTGAAAAGTAAAAGGGTTGGAATTGAGATAACCAAACCTAAATAAGTACATAGATGAAGACTTATGTTGAGGACATTATATATAAATACAGAAGAAAGAAAAAAAAACATTGACCCATCTACAATTTATAGATTATAGATTTTAAGGAACAAACTGACCACTGACTCTATGCAACAGTGTCACAAACATCATACCCGTAGGTGGGAAGGAAATGCCAAAAAATTAAAATGTGATAACTCACCATGTTGTCAGGACTGTAGATGATAATCCAAAGTATAGGCATGCATGTCAGAAGGACTTGTCCCAGGCCTGAAACAAACATCAAGCACGTAAGATCGTTTTAGATATTCAATAGAAATCAAATTTGAATAACTCAACAATGTCTAATTTAATATTAGGCGTGGTTGAATTACTTTTATCCTTAAAAAGCAGAAATTGCACTCATTAAGGTACGGGAGTTGAGTCATTGTTTACTAATTGGAATATCATATAATCTGAACCTACTTTTTATTGATGATACCATAGTGGAACTTAAGTTTTCCGGCCTTTACATCTTCTGCATACTGCAGCCACAAGAGATAAGAAATTGACATAAGATAAATGTTTAGAAGTAATTGAATAGATATTATGGGTAATAGGTATAGCATCCGCAAGAAGCCCATACCAATTTTAAGGTCACTACCATCGACGAAAAAGCCAGAGAATCAAAAGGTATATCATCAATTGCAAATAGTCGGCATTCTGATGATTCTGGACCTGGTGAGAAGTGGGGCTTCTTCAGCCTTGCTAAGAAAATTACATAAGTCTGTTTGAAAAAACACAACATAAACACAAAGACATCTTTATCAAGTGTATGGGATATCAAAAATTTTAACAAAAATAAAAGAAAAGGTTAATAATGAGAAGTTTCTCACTGACCTGGCCAATTAGTGGGATGTCCAACTGAGCAAAAGGAGACAGCACTTCCACTTCTGCACATGCTTCTTCCCAGGTTTCTCTGATTGCTCCTTCTGTAGCTGATTCCCCAATTTCCATATAACCTGCGGGAAGAGTCCTAAATGACAACACCCAACAATGAAAATTAGGATAAACATCATAAATCAAAAAATCTTGATGTTTAGACATAATTTTTTCTCCTTTTCCAGAAATGATTAGTCAGTTGACCATTCCCAGATAAATACTTTATCCATTTACAAACATACCAAAGGCCATATGATGGTTGAATCTTCCTCTTGCAAAGCAGGACCATGTTATCATGCTCAATCAGACAGCCCACAACCTATAAGCATCATTTGAGCAAACAATAACGAAATTGATGTCACATTTGTATAAAACAATTACTTCTAATATGTATAGCACAAATCATATTAAGGACCAAACTTAGGTGACATAATACATAGCTCTAGAACTTCACAATCAAAATACTAAGCACACAACACTACACTTTTTTTTCCCTCCTTTTCAAATTCAATCAATTTTTTTCCTAAATTTTACCATTTATAGAAATTGACTCCAGACGATGAAACAAAGATAAAAGTAAGCAGGCCAGACTGGTTTACAATAGAACCAGAGTGAACAGGATTGTGTCAGTCTGTGAAGGCAACACATGCATGTCAAATCTATTATAGAGTAACGTCTTAAGTAATGCCAGGGAAAAAATAACCAGGGTAGCCCTTCAAGTATAAAACTATGATGTGAATCAAATACAGCAGGTGAAGAAAATAACATAAATAACCTTTATTTTGCACTGCCATCAAAATCAGATTTTGGAATCGACAAAAACTTCTGCAACATAGTATTTCTGAACAATTCCCAAACACTATTAAGTTCCAAAAAGAATAAAGAACACAAAAATCATTCAAGTTAGGATGCATATCATGTGATCATGTGATCGATATTTAAGCTTAAGTGAGAGGAAAACCTGGCTGAAATTGGGACAAATATTGAAGCTGCCAGAAAAATACGGCATACATGGATGTTGTATATTAAATATTATATGTCAAAATATTGGTAGTGTTACATGGAGACAAAACAATAATCTAAAGATACTATAGATGAGATCGATAAATTGTTACGCACTTACCCTAATGTAAATCCTAATAAATAGACCGATCACATAGAGACTTTGTTTCAAATCTATAACATAATAAATTCAGTCTATTTCCAACCAAGAAGTTCCAGCACCTTGTTATAAACTAATTTCAAAATTAAGAAAAACTTGGGACCTCTTGTTCCTGGATTGGCACATGCACAACTCAATGAAATTGTCATCGCAAAACAAAGGCTAATTTGAACAGTATACCATTTTTGGGTTCTCGTAGGTAATCTTATCACAAACCGTGCAAATAGCTCTTATCTTCTCCTCTCCATCAGGTATCTCATGCTTTGTTGGGCCACCACACCACTGGCAGAAATTGATCTTACGAGCATTGCCCTTCATAGGAATAGAAATTCAATTCATAAAGCACAGTAGGCTATAATAAATGAAAAGAAAATGTTAAAAAGTACAAATGAAATGCTCAATCTGGGTTATAATCATGCACTGTCGTAGTAAAGCATATAGATGACTTGATACACTACCATTGTCCTGTCAAAATCTCTAGCTATGTCTACCAATTACTATTTCAATAACTAGACATGACAACTCAAATATCAAAAGGGGGGAAAGAATAAGAAAGTTCTAACTACCCAATAAATTCACAGGAATATCCACAAAGTTTAAACTTTGAATTATGCAATGGAGCATATGGAGGTGACAGTTCATGCGAAACGAACAGGCCAACCAAATTTCTCCTCAATTATAAATTATACAGAAGCAAAACGCTTAATCTCATTAGATAACACAAACCCATTTCCGCATACTCAAAAGCAACCAAAATCCACTAGAACCCACCAAATAAATTGAGCATGCACCCCAAAAATCTATACCAAACCCATCAGTACGAAAAGAAATAGACCAAAAAAAACTTACAGCTGAGTGAACCGCGACTGATGAAGAAGGGCCACCTGGGTTTGGCCCAGAATGAGCTGAGGACATGCTGAAAGCTCCCAAACGAGTGCGGCGAGGTGAGGACCCAGGAAGTAACAAAGTGGTTGTTGTCGGTAGAATTGTCGAAGAAGAAGAAGATGATGATAATAATAATAATGGTTTGGAGCAGGTGGAGATAGAAATGAAGGACACCTGCCTGCTGCCTGTATAGCTATAGGGCTTCCAACGATGCGAAACCAAGCCTGATGAACAACCCAAGATCTGTCTAGTTTTTAGCATTATATGTTTATCAAGAATTTTTTACCAAGATAATCAACCAAATAAACTGAACCCAAATTATGCAGAAAGAGTGACAGACAGCTATATCAATATCGGTTTCTCTTTTTTTTTCTTTCAGAAGCTTTTCTATTTCTTTTGTCCAATACGGATTACGGAGTGGTATCCCGCGTTAACTCAGCCATTTTGCGCGAGTTCATCGACTCCAATTTTGTAAACTAACGGTGTCACTAGCATTATTATTTTCTTTTCATTTTTAGCTATTAATCTAGTCATATTTATGTATCACAACACAACGTTGAAAATTTCTCAAATTCGACTCTCTGTACCTAAGAACCATAAAAGAAGAAAAATATAAAGAAAAATGCTAAATTATCTTCTACTTCTGCTTGTAATAAGCAACATCGAGGGGAGTGGATTTGAACACAGCCT